ATAACAGTATATTATAGAACATTTGCATCCAAATCGAGCATTGAATTTTAAAAAAGAACAATTATTAAATGATCTAACTATTTCACCTATGTGGTATACGGTAACTCGCCATTTTTTTTTCTCTTTACTTTTACTTTGCAAAACTATCTCTTTCCTAAAGCCTAGCGACTTATGCATTCTTCGCTTTCGCTTATTTCATTTATTGCATTTCTTATATCTCCCTCTAGTCCTACTTGCATTTATATTTGTCCTTTGTCGCATTGCATTCGTCCTCCCTTACGTGTTGTACACGCCCCTTTTGAAGAATAATAGTTCCGTCTCACATGGACCGGACGCGCTCGCAAATTTATCTAATTAAGTATTACTACGTATCTATTAATTATCTCCTATTTTGCGATTATGATTACTGAATTATTCTTATCCTTAATCCTTATTCCTATTTCTCTATCTTATCTATATTTGACTAAACAGTGACTGCCGTCTTGTTGCGCTAATGGAATAATTGCAAAATAACATAAACGGTTGAATGAAAGGGACTAGAAACCTATGATTTTTAAACTGAAGACATAAAAATTCATTCGACGCTTCCTTTATCCATCTTTTCTACCGCGAAAACTAAATATCAATCATTAAGTACTAAACACAAACAATTCAACAATAATTCAAAAAAACCCAATTAATAATTAAAAACAGCATCAAAGTATTTTTTTTAACAGTAACAACCATAAAAAAACAAAACATATCAAAATATAAAAATTAAATTCTAATCCCATTTCACTATTGGCAGTATGAGCCGTATCGACCTTGATGTCAGTGGGCTCGACTGATTACAATTAAATCGGAGTGGCTAAGTCCGCTCTAATTGAAAAATCACCAAAGACATCTCGATCAATTCAAATGCATATCGAAAATCGGTGTCACCAAGAGCTTTCGCACTGAATTATATACAAGCTATCCAGGCGGTGGTGATCGACCTAACAAAAATTTGCCACAATTCAATCCCTGTAAGCCGTTGCTTTCGACGCATTCCCAAACAAAATTTGCACCTCATATGCACGGAGGGCGAATAACTCCGCAATTCTCAAAACTGCTCAAATTTTGAGTATAAAACAAATCATAATAAAAATACTCTAACGCAATAGCGCAAACAAAACTAAACAGAAAAAGAAATTCGCTCGTAATTTAAAAAACAGCCACATGTATTCGAAAATATTGTAAACTCCTGATCAACAAAAAAAACATATATATACAAAGACATCTTCCCTAATTTAAAATTATTTTACACTACACTTAAAACTATCTACGCAACTCAAAAATCTAGTACTGTAAACCAAAAAAAAAGCTTTTAGCCTGGCGTTGACATACGTTAGGGACCATAAGTTCGCAACACGAGAACGATGTCTGGGCATTTCGACCTCACATATACTTGCCCACGCGTTGTTGGCGTCTTAAAAAACATAGGGATGAAATGTTTACACAAAAAAAGCACTAAAAATTATCCCGCTGCGTCACTTAAATGTCTGTGACTGAGATCGAATTCGAAGAGAAAATAACTTCGACGATATCTTACCCTTGCAATATGATTTTTAAAATAACTTTTTTTAAAATATTTACGACTATATATATAAAAAAAAAATAAACTCTACTCACAAGAACGATTTCCATTGAAACAACACTTAACTGTATAACATAACTTAATGTATCTGGCAATCATCATAAATTTTATGTATTAGTGTTACGAAAATGATTATGAATAACACCAATACACTAAACAATTCAATAATGTCGTAATAAACAAAATTCTAAATCTGTATAGACAATATTTTTCTACACTAATTATAATAATTTTCGAATTTAAAATTATATTCTAATAATCTTAATTTAAAATGATGGTAATTATAATTAACCTAGGAAACACGTATCTAATAGTACACGAAACACAAGCCTTTTCCCAAAAAAATCGAAATAAAACAAAACCGCGCGACGACTGAACAAAAAGAAACATTATCGAACAAAAATACAAATACAATAAATAGATTCAGCATTTCAAAATTATTATAAAACAACCTTTAAATTTACAAATAAATAGATTTCAAAATCCACAAATCAAAATTCTAAACAATTACTTGAACTACTTGATTATTCGTTTTTGCGCCAACCAATTTCGCAAATTACGTTTACATTAACCCCCAACATACATAGAAACCCCCTTTGATCACACAACAACATTTCAATTTATATATACCGCTAAACATTATTTCAAATTGCACACTAGTTTTCATAATTTTAAGTGTGTCCAAACAATCTTCTGTACACTCAACTATGATAACCAAGAGTTCAACAAATTTCATAAATACCAATTTAATAATAACGCGTAATCAAGAAATGCCGAATCTTCGCGAAAAAAAACAAATCGAAACCCGAAATTGATCAATAACAAAATAACAAAAAAAAAATAAAACGAGGAAACTGTAAACTTACAAGCAAGGAAAAATAACCGCGAATGAACCAACAATAAAATTGTTTTACCGAGATCGTAATAATGTGCCGTCGATGGTGGATCAAATGATTACCAAAACAAATAATACTTTTTAATCATTTGATCGTTAAACCAACGAAAAGCATACCCGGCGCTTCCACCATTTGTCACAATCCCTTTTTATTTATTGTGAAACCCTTTTATTTATTATTACTACCCTTGATTCATGCCCTAATTTACTATTGTTGTTACATTCGCGGTCTTTCTACACCCTTACCGTGACGTCGCGATCCTGTAAGAAACTGATTACTTTAAAACTACTAATGAAAAGGCGTTTGTTCGTTACTTAATTAACAAACCTATATTTAAACATAACAATCCCTTAATCTAAAACATTTCTTATTCTAACATGCAACTTATTCTAGACTTATCTTTAACCACGGCGCAACCAGTGTCCATCACATGTCCATACATCGGGCCCGATTCACATAAATCACTTAACCATCACCTTTAGGTATTTTCACTAAGTCTACTTTCTGTTTGGGGACAGTCTCCGAACGCTGTCCCCCCATGATGTCCTCTAATCTCACATTCAATACATTTTATTAACACTTTCGTGCGCTGGACCGCACGTTTGTCGACACTGAGGCCACGCCGGCAACTCTCAACCCCGACTACCTCAAGACTACGACTATATCTAGACTACTCAATGCAGACAACCACCCTCAGCCTGCGGACACATTCCTCATCAGGGACATGGATTACACGCATAGGGAGAGGGGTAGTAATGTGTTATTTTACATCCGTGTGCGGGTCCTCACCCACACATTCGTAACAATATATCTCAACATCAAAATTATTAAAATTTAACATATATTATCTAGTTTATATATATATATATTATATATATATATATATATATATACTAGATGACCCGACAGACATTGTTTTGTACCCACATCTACGTTTTTTTAATATCCTATACTAGTATTTATACCGTTCAGTTAAAAATAAACTTTATTGGTTTTCGAATTACTATTTACACCAATACATGAGTGATGTTGAATGTAGAACTGTTTCAAATAAAATGATTATTCTCAATTCTCACAGTTAACACTTTAATTATCCATAAAAAATGAAAAATGATAAGAAATATTAAAAAATGTTCAATAAAATTGTGTATTAAAAATTATACACTGCAAATTTATAGCTCAATTTATTTAAATGCCAAGGGTTATACAATTTTCCAGTCATACGTGTAGATATGGATGTATAAATAAATGATTTTTTGTTTATTCGCGACTTAAACATTGATATTCCAAATTTATCACACAAAAAATCATCGTCTGCCTTTATGATTTATGGTCATAGCATAAGACACACGTGTTGAAAATTGAAGTCCTTTAAAAGGTATAACAAATTCAGAAAGAATTAATATATAGCATTCGCAGTATAGGTACAATATTACCTTGGATTTTTCTACCCAAAATAATTGCTTCAATAATGTTGCCTATAATTTTTATAATTTTGTACCATATTTTAACACGCTTTTAGTAATTTACGATTTAAATTAATTTTTTTTCACTAATAATTCAATATACATTATTACTTAAGTTTATATTTGAAGTGAATTAATCTATCGAATCCTGTTCACATGTGCTCTATTCACCCTATTATCAACAAAATTATTGCAGTAAATGGAGAGGCAAAAAGCGTGTGCCGAAAATAGGCTAATCTTTATCTTACGTTCAGAAGTGAAAACAATTTGCACTTCGACATCACCCACCGGATTAATTGAATTATAATTCTTTTAATTCTGATTTTATCAGTACTTGCAATACACTATTTTAGAGGTAGTTAAATGAGCTACAACTTTCTCTATCATAACTTTTACCGTAACTTTTCTTATTTTGAAATGGCAAAGGATTGAAGGACTCGAAAGACACTCTGGTTGGACACTATCATTATTTGTGTAACAGAAAAATAATAAAAAGCAATAATTGGTCAGTAAAAGACCTTGAATTTTCATTTATATACCTTTATACGTATCTTTTCTTTTTTGTAACAAAATGCAAATTGTTTTCATTTCTGAACTTAAGATAAAGATTAGCCTATTTCCGACACACGCTTTTTTCCTCTCCATTTACTGCAATAATTTTGTTGATAGAAGGTTGAATAGAGCACATGTGAACAGGATTTGATAAATTAATTCACTTCAAATATAAACTTAAGTAATAATGTATAATGAATTATTAGTGAAAAAAAATTAATTTAGATCGTAAATTACTAAAAGCCAGTTAAAATATGGTACGTAATTATAAAAATTATAGGCAACATTATTGAAACAATTATGTTGAGTAGAAAAATCCAAGGTGATATTGTACCTATATCGCGAATGCTATATATTAATTCTTTCTGAATTTGTTATACCTTTTAAAAGACTTCAATTTTCAACATGTGTGTCTTATATATATATATATACATATATATATATATATATATATATATATATATATATATATATATATATATACAAAAGACATTTCATAAATTAAAGTCCACAAGAATTAATATTATTTCAATAATCTCGAATTTATAAAATATTTATAAAAGAGCTAAATAATAGTAAGAAGAAAGTGAAGAAGGTATGAAAATATTAAAAAGTTACCTTTTGGGTTAATGATGTAAACTAACTCAATGTTTTATAACGAGTCAAACACTACCTTTATTTTTACAGTATATAATTAATAAGGCATCATCATGCTTTAAAATAGCCCTCATTATGTTACGTAAATCTTACAATATTTTTCAGAGATATTTGCAGAGAACCTGATGACAGTTTATTGACAAATATTGCTCCTGAAACAAATGCGGACTCGATTGTTGATTCTTTAAATGTTAATGCTATCCAAATTTCTAGTAAGTCTTATTCTAAACCATTGCTAAAAGTATTATAATAATTTAAAACATACTTATTTACTAGATATGTATTATGTATAATTTATAGATCCACCTATAACACCTTCGAGTAGTTATCAATCTTCCGGGTTTCTTTCTCATAGAACCCAGCGGAGCTTTGGCAGTATTCAGGCGACTGAGTTAGAGGATATCTGCATTTACTCTGCTTTAAGGGAAGATGATAGAATTTTGACTGTAAGTTTACTTATCGAATATTTAATAAATAAGAGAACGAAATGCACTTTGGTGCATTTCTAAATATGCAGTGGAGAGATACAAACAAAATGGTATATACGGACAAAATGATACAGTGGTCTTATTTAATAATTGGAAAGCCCTAATTATGTTAACGTGTAACGTATTAACGTATATCGCGTCTTCGAAAGTTTATTTATTAACTTCCCGTATTAGAAATCGTCCAAAAATCGAAATTGAAATTTTTACATTTCTTCACGTTTTGGAGGTTTCTGAACATCTTGGCATACATCAGAAAAAAATGATGTGTGTGTATGTATGTATAGACACAATTTTTCGTCCACGTTTTCCGGCGCGCGGATCAACCGATTTGTATGGTTCAAAAAGCACTCGATTTCTATCGATAGGGAGATGTGCTGATTAGGAGATACGGAGCAAAGAGTGCAGAAAAAATTGAGTTTTTGAGAGATCGGAGCATCCGATTTGAATGATTCAAAAAACATTCAATTCGTAATGATGAGGAGAAGTGGTGATTCGTTTTTGGCAAAGGCAGGTCCAGCGGTTTCGGAGATGCAGAGCTAAATGTGCACAAAATGGCATTTTTTGAGTGAACTAAGCGTCCGATTTGAATGATTCAAAGAACTTTCTGCTTATTTTAACAAGATAATTGCTTTTGAAAAAAAAATTCAATTTTTTTTTCAATTTTTTTTTCATATAATTTTTTTTTGTATATCGAAAATAATTCAGATTTTAATTGTAATTTTGACTTAAGTTCTAATATACTTTTAACAAACCCTTTCAACTTTGCAATTCAGTTTATATAATTCTTATAAATATTAGACAATGTTACAGTATTTATAATAATCTATATAAAAACATTTAATATTTCTCAAACATATTTCGGCACGGGAAGTTCCAGCAACTTGCCTCAAGGCACGATGTCATACACACCACTAGTTTATTTTTTATTCACTACTATATATTTACAACTGTCCAGTTAAGAACATTTAGTAAATTTGTGGAATTTACAACTGTCAGCCATAATAGGGACATTGTGTACTATAGTGACATGCTGGAAAAACAACTCAATAGTTGTTTTTCCCTTTGTTATGAATATAATATTAATAATATTTTAATGATAATAATATAAACTTAACTATTTTCTTCTAAATATTTTTGTATAAATTATACCTAAGTTATTTCAATCTTCATCAGGAAAATTGATGACTTAAATCAAGTGGTGACTTTTTGTTCAATCTACCTCATAGTTTTATGTTATTTTTGTTTAAAATTAACAATAAATATTATAAAACCGATGACCGCTTTGTTGGTTTTTGGACTACCTTTATGCTCTATGTATAAACTATTGTGTTATAATATGATAAATAATACGATATTTTTATTTAATGACTTTTAAATTTTAATAATATCTATTTATCTAAAAATAGTATAACAAATTTGTAAACAAATAAGAAAATTCAACAATACATAATTATTAGAGCAAATGTACGTGTAAAAACTCTAAAAGTCAAAAACAAAATAGATGGATTCTTGCTTAATTAGAGATAAAACACTCCAATGTAATCTTCAATTGATTCTTATCAAAAATAACACAAACATATAACAATAACATGTCCTTTGATGGATATTCAGACAGGCGGTTTTTACATGTTTATTTCTAATCTCAAAAGTCGTTAAAGATTGATTTATTATATATACAATTATTAATTGATCTGTACTTATCATATCTAAACTAAACATATCCCAACAACGGACCATCGTAAGCCTTTTATCGCATAAAACATAAACATTAACTTTGGCGAGCAGCGCTCGGGTTAGCCCGCTAGGATACGTCATCTAGGCGCGAGCAGTGTTCGTTAAGTTTGCTCTAGTGAATTTGGATGACTGAATAGCTTGTTTCTATATTTATGCACTGTTTTATTACATCTTTTATGGTAGGTGTATTCGTGTCGAGATAAATCATCCAGTTCAGTTAAGGCAATTTTTATACATTTGTTTTTTGAAAGCTTATTTTGAAGGTGGTTTTGTCATGTTTTTTGGACTTTTTAATTATTTTTTTTCCTATTAAAGTCAATTAACATATATCAGTATCATGTAATTTTTTTGCAATGATCAGGTTTTTAATGGATTTTTGATTATTTATTCATTATTGTTCACTTTCGGACAAAATGACATAGCTATATTATGGACAAAATGACATAGTATTATGTTGTAAGAACTACAGGATAGTTCATTGGGGGCCAAGAAAAATTAAACTAATTTGATCCTATTCAATGTTAATGGCTTTTAACTTCTTATGAATTCTTGACTAACTACTACTGGAAACAGACCAAGGAATCCACTGGTAAAGAGACTTGTCATCTGCTGATGTCCCAAAGTAGTTTGTCGATGTCGATTTATTTTTGAACTGCCTTCTTAGCTAGTGGTGCATGGCATCGTGCCTTAAGACAAATTGCTGGTACTTCTCGTACTAGAAATTAATACTCGAGGAAAAAAAATCAGTTATCAATCATTGATCAATGATTAATAACAATTGTTTTAAGTATTTTCAAATAGATAATTTATAACTAATATATATCGCCTATATTATATAGTGACGACCTTATCGTATAAAACACTTGAGAATGTGTACAATGTACATTAACATGCCGAATGAATCTATCTGAGATATATATTCCTTAGGATTAGAATAACACATATGAAATATATGCATTTTTAAAATGAATTGTATTCATTTTTTTGCTGAAATTTTTGATATTTGTTTGAACATTGCAAGTGAACTCAAAAAATAAAAATTTTTGGCACGGAATCGGAATCATTTTTAAAATCTTTATAAAATATAATATACGATACTTTGTTGAATATATGTGTAATGATAATTTTTGACCGTCAAATATCATTTCTTTTCTACTTTTTCTTTTCCACTGTATCTTTAAAACCGCTAGAAGTGCCTTGCCAAAAATTTAATAATTTCTTCGTCTATACAAGTCGGTTTTCGCTGTATAAATGGAAAATGATAAATAATGACAGATGAAAGCATTTTGATTTTTGAAATCATGTCGGTTCAATAGCATTTTATATCTTATAAGTCTGCAATGGTTCCCAGAAATGTTTTGTATATATTAATTTAGATTTTTATACCAGTGTATATATTAATTTAAATCAGTGTGACTTCTTCTTGAAGAAATAACTTCGACTACTCAAACTAAAAAAAAGAGTTTTAAACCCTAGAAGCCACAAATTAAAGAACAAAAAACTTAGAATTATTATATCAGCTTTAAAAATAATTAAGTATAATTTGGTCGCTAGTATGAGAGTATTTTCTATTTCAGGAAATTTTGCGAGTAAACAAAGGACACATCTAAGTAGCAATTCGATAGACGTTCTCAGTTTTTTTAATTAATTCTCAGTTTAAAATTAATTAATTAAAATTTCTCGGAATAGACAATACCCGAGTTTAGCTTAATTGTTTTTAAAACTAAAATTGATATTAACAAGTATGTATCAACATGTATCTAATATTTTTTTTTACTTTTATTTTTTAATTTAATGATTTTTTTTATTTATAAATGTATTATTTTTATTTATTCGAAAACTTTCCTTTCACTATCATAACAATATTTTTATTCTTGCATGAATAACGAATAATTATTTTCAAAGTTATTTAATCAAGATAAACTATTATTTTGTTTACTATCTATAAAGTTGAACAATAAATAAATACAGTCAAATTCTGCTCTAAATTACACTAAATTTGCGGATAAATTACAGAATATTCGAGCAAAAATTTATTTTCTATATAAAATTCAAAAACCCGTTAAAACCGTTTTTTTTAGTGAAATTAAAATTCGAAAACCGGTTTTCTGAAATGTCGGTTTTTGTATAAACCCTAATCGTAACTCTCTAAAGTTATATTTTTACATTCTACACGCTTATGTTTTATTCGAAATTAAATTTAGTTGCAAGAAAGTTTTCATGATTATTTTAGCATTTGTTATTTGTAAAATAAGATAAAAATTTGTAAGATTCTATTAATATTTGGGCAGGTTGGGCCCCCATGGCCCGGAAAAATACACTTTAAAATAATAATTTTGCATTTCTCTTAATGACATTAAACTTCACTGAACAAATTTTTCACGATTAATTCGCTTTTTGTGAAATATTTGTTTTTCATTATTATTATTTGCTTACAGACGTTGGGGGCCCCGTATTTTTTATACGGCTGATATGGCGGTAGTTACGCCGCTGTTTCATTCAAACATGTATAAACAACATCGTCTAATCTAATAAGTTTGCACATTTTGTTCACAAGGAACAAATAATGAAAATTCTAGTTTTTATAATATTTATTCATAGACATTTTTGTTGACTGATCATTTTTATTTTTCGGTACGGGAAGTTCCAGCAATTTGCTTTAAGGCACGATGCTATGCGCCCTACTAAGGTATGCCAAAATGTTCAGTAACATTTTAAACGTAAAGATATGCAAACATTTCCTTTTTCGATTGTTTTGCGATTACTTCAGTTACATATAACTTAACCCTGTGGGAAGTTAATAATTAGTATATCAGTATAACTTTACCTTATATGTCATTTTATATAACGATATATTCTACTTCATTAAAAAACTGTTGTAGTAGGTCAATGAATTTGAGATGAGTAAAAACTATAGAGACTGATTATAATATTATTAAATAAATAGAAATCATTGAAAAACAAAACACTTTATCATTTTGAATGGGAACTTCACATGATTATTGAATTATAAGAGAAATAAGCATTAATTATAAGAGAAAAGTGAGGACTACAAATTTTAATTTATTAAGTTCACAAATATGCTACATATTTTAGAAAGAGCATATTTGTACAGAACCCATAAAGTGAGAATCTCTTTCTTTTATTTATATATTTTTAATGCATTCAGAAAATTGTCAACGATTGGATAGCGATGTACAAAGCCGATTACTACAAAGGATTGTCAGTTTTAATCAATTTTATTTTGAATGCTAGTGGATACAGTGGCATACAAGTGACTTCAGGAATGCTAAAAACATTACAGCATTCAACTATAGCAACAAAAATAGAAGCTGATTTTATATGGGTATAATAGAAATATAATATTTTAAATTTACTGAAGAATGATGCATAATTGTTTGCTTTTTTATAGGATGATAAGTTTGTTTCATTGCTCAGTAAAGATAAAAATCGTAAAAAATTTCATGAAGACTTCTGTTTGTTTATTTCTACATTAGTATTTCAATGCCAATACTCGATCATTTACGATGATTTTTTTATGCAAAATGTAATTTCGATGCTGACTTGTCTATCGAAGGTAAAACAACAAATTCTTCGATACACGTCTACATTGGCAGGTAAGTTTAATTAGTGAGATTATCACATGTTTATTTTGAAATGCCTTCAAGGATTCTGCAAACCTTTTAATAAATCCGTATCTCTAACCGACTATTCACTCAGGTATAAAATTAATGACCGCATTGGCAGAAATTGAATCGAAATTATCTGTAAATTGTAATTATGCCATACATCAAGTTGAAGCAGAAGAAGCGAAAGATTTGGGAAGGCAAATGTCTGACCGATTAGAAACACTCATTGAAAAGCGCGATGAATTACTTGAAAACCAAGAAGAATTGCAAAAGATGATCAAGAGTATATTCAAATATATTTTTACACATCGTTACAAGTGAGATATTTTGATATTTTGTTTTTGACTCATACATAAATTTTGATTATAATTATAATATAATACAATAATTTCAAAGTTATTGTTAAGAAGTTTAGGTTTTCAAAAAAAAATTGATTTGCTTATTTTATATTTTTTGACGTTTAAAATCATTCTGAATGTTTGTAGACCAAGTATGGAATAAGTGTGTGTGTGTGTGTTAATGTATGTATGTTTTTTTATAGAGGTGCGAAAGAAAATCTTACAGCAGACAATGATGGACGGTAGTGTGGAGATTTTTACCTACTAAAAAAACACTTCTCTCCCCTCTCCCCGCAGATGGTACGGAGAGAACTGGATTGGAACCGTCTTAACATTACATTAATCCAGTCCGTGCTGCGCCTTGCGACGCCTGCTTCCGACTACTGGTTCCTTTTTCCGGTTTTATCCTTCAAAAGGTGCTGTGCATAAGCTGCTACAGCTGACCAGTTTTCTTCTTGTTTCAGCATATAGGTCACAAGGCTTACGGGGGTGAGTCTAATGCCTATAATGTTCTCGGCGTTGTTTTGATAGTTTTTCCACCGAGCACATGCAAAGAACGTGTGCTCAGCGTTGTCGATTTTATCTGGACAGTATTTGCACATTGGCGTACTATGCGAGCTCATCTTAAAAAGATAGGCATTAAACTGTCGATGTCGTGTCAATAGCTGGGTCAGAAAGAAATCTGTTTCCCCGTATTGTCGAGAAAGCCAGACGCTAATGTCCGGAATCAGGCGCGCCGTGCATCTGCCAGTATCTCTTGACGTCCACCGATTTTGCCACTCTTGTAACGTTTCCTTTTTTATTCTCGACCTTGTTTGTTTGGAGTTGTCGCCACCTATTTTAGCGTCGTAGTGTTTCACTCTTTTGAATGCTAGCAAATCAATCGGCGTGGTTCCTGCTATTACCAATACAGCTGCTTCTGAGACCGTGCGATAGGCACAGGTAACTCTCAGAGCTCCTCGTCTTTGCACTGACGCTATTTTGTGCCGATAAGTCTTTTGTTTGAGGATATCCGCCCATATCTCCGCTCCGTATAGCAGTACAGAATAGACTATCTCAACCAGGACTCGTCTTTTTCGGGTTTGTGGTCCCATGCAGTTAGCCATAATCCTTGACAAGTTGGATACCGTCTCGGAATGTTCACGGAAGGATAGCTTCTCATCTATCATTAATACACTGACGTCAAAGTCAAAGTCTCTCTTATGTCTACAGGGAATGGTTTGGAAACCATTTTTGTCGAGTCAAAACAAACATTTCCGTTTTCTGTTTGGCGAGCTTTAGGTGGTGTTTCTTAAGCTAGGTCTTTATGATATCAATGGTATTTTGAACGAGTAGTTCAGCCTCCTCAGTGCTGTACACTATGATCTGCGACGTCGTCCGCGAAGCCCTTGAGTACCACCTGCTTCGGCAAAGGGATCTTCAGGAGCTCGTCGTAGACGGCGTTTCATAGATAGCCTCCTAAGATTGAGCCTTGAGGTACACCAGCTGTAACATCGTGTGCTTGATGACCTTCCGTCGTTTCCACAATCAACTTTTTCTCATCGAGGTAGTCGTCTATCAGTCCTAGATTATCTGGCTTCACGTCAAAATGTCGTTTAAAATATCCTACCAATTCGCACTGTTAAAGGCGTGTTCTTAACGTCGAATGTAAGGAGGAGACGGAAGTTTTTATATGTGTATGTGTGTGTGTGCATGTGTACATGGGCCATATGCTCCTAAATAACATATTCAAATTTTACAAGTCGACAAGTTGTTTAATTATAAAAATTCATCGAAGTTTGAAAAAATTAGTAACGCTTTTTTTTACTTTACTCTTAACTTTTTTTGCCATTTTCTCAATAATGGCAAGACTGATTTCAAAAATATAAAAGGTACTTAATGAAATTCGATAGGCAACAAAGTGTTTAATGTTTTATTGAAAAATTCTGAACCGATTTTGAGAATTCAAAAACTATTTGAAAGCTATCATTTGGAAAGCATGATTAGTTTTTGAAGTAGATCGGTCAGGTCGTTTCTTTATAAATGTTTAAGAAAATTTATTTTGCGTTTTTAATAAAACTTATTACGGGGATACAGTTTTTAGTCATTGATTGATTTTAATAAAAATCTTTGTTTTGATTTTAATAAAAGTAAGACTTTATTTTCGAAATAAATTACTGAAAATTTTATTCAAACAACTTAATCTCAATTTTTATCGTTTAGGACCATTATTTACACAAATCGGGAAATTTGAAAGTTGTATATAAATATTATTCATTTTTACAGAGACTTTGACCCAGATATTCGTGCGAACTGTTTAGCTGAACTAGGCATCTGGCTAAATACTTTTCATTCACGATTTCTGGATGATGCTTATTTGAAATTCATTGGTTTTTCACTTTTCGACAAGGTATAATGTCTTTATTATATATATATATATATATATATATATATATATATACGATTTAGTTGTTAATTTTGATGTTGAGATATATGAGTAAGTTCTTGTGGAGATTTATAAGCCTCGGAACTCGCAAAGTGCACAAGTCGTGGCAGAAATTACGTAACTTTACTCAGATTTTTGTTCAAATAAAACTATCATTTTTCTTTTTACATCATACAATAAATTATAAAAAATGCATGGTGTTGACAAGTTAGTTGTATAAATGTTAGTCCTAATTTCTAGTGTTGTGCACACTTCTCTAGTTGTAACCTACCAACGTCAATATCCACTGATGATGACATTAAATTGAATGTCGAAACGTTTGGAATTAAAGATAAATTTATAAATCTATATTATATATATATATATATATATATATATATATGATTTAGTAGTTAATTTTGATGTTGAAATATATGAGTGAGTTCTTGAGGGCGATACATCAAACAAAGAAAAGGAAAAGATTTATAAAATAATCTTTAATTCCAAACGTTTCGACATTCAATTTAATGTCATTATCAGTGGATCTAAAAACAGTATGAAAATTAGTATATCTAGGTAATTATAATATATGTGGATTGGTATAGTAACTATAAAATAAGAGAAAAATTAACAAACAGCAACACTTAACAACAAACAAAATATAAAAGATAGGAAAGGTAATAGAGACTAGAATTAAATAAATAATTAAAAAAGAAAAAGAATATAGGCAAAAATATATAAGTACACTCATATAAACCTACGCATATATACATATATACACATAACATATATACATATATACATATATACATATATATATATATATATATATATACATACACACACACATGCAAACATATATATATACATATACATATACAAATACAAAAATATATACCTATATATGTACACATATACATGTACGACTATACATATATAAATATACGCATATACATATATGCAACGTGCATGCATATTCACAACGACGTACATATACATTTATGAAACATACATATACTCATACCTATCTATGTAACTATAGCTATACACATATATGTATGTTTACATATATGTATGTTTATATATATACGTTTTTGTATGTATATATGTATATATATGTATATTATTTATTTACATGTATCTTTGTATGTATGTACATATGTATATGTGTATACATGTATTTGTATATGTATGTATGTACATGTATATATGTATGTATATATATATATATATATATATATGTATTAGAGATGGGTAACTCACTCCGGAGTTATCACTCCGATACAACTCCTCCCTCGGAGTGAATCCGAGTGGAGTTGTTTCACAGGATTTGTCATATCCGACTTCCTTAAACTGGTATTAAATCTGTTAACTCGTACAGGCATTTAGTGTTTTTGTCGTTTTTGCTTTGGAAGGAAGCGGTCACTTTCTTGTCTCGCAGGCAGTTTTATAACCTTTTTTAGGTATAAAAGTCAAAATAAATACCATTTTGTATTTTCCAGAAAATAGAAAAATATTACTTTAAAGACACAGAACAATGAAATTGTATTCAAGTGTGAATAGCTCAAATGTATAATTTATTGAATAGTAAGGGGTGATATTTCTAACTACGACAATCTTTGGCCGTAAATGACGGAAATCAAAAATATACATACCGAAAAATATACGAAACGAAATACATTTATTTAATCTTGATTTTCCATAGCCTGAAATAACAACACTTTAGAGTACAAAATTTATCAGTAATATCATTAGTATTTAAGCAGTAAAAAATATTCAGTATTATATTATTACTTTTACACAATTATATAATTGTATAAAAGTAATATTATGCTGATCGAACTACGCGATATAATATTAATTCTCAAATGGAAATAGCAAAAGAAAAATTTTGAAAGCAGAATTATTATGTTTTGCTTCTATTACAAAGTTTACTACATAATTTTTATATAAAATTATTTTCTCATCAAAAGGAAATCATTAAATTGAATTTGATTCTCAAGTTTTGCGTTTTTACTTTGGTCAACACTGCTAAAAATACGAGTCACTGAGTCGATCATCTGGTCGACCGAAACTTTTACAATCCGTCATTTATTCGTGAATTTTTTAGAAAAATTATTTTATTGATAATTATTCATAAATTTTTATTTCAAATAATTAACGGAATTTGACAAATCCTTAGATACATAAACAGCATACTATAATACAAATTTGTTTCGAGTATTTCGGTTTCAAAATTGTCGGAATCGTGGAGTTGTTTAGCGAATATAACTCCACCATGAAGCGGAGTCAAATCCGAGTCGATCCGGCTTCGGATATAATAAGCCCATCTCTAATATGTATATATATATATATATATATATATAATATATTATATATATATATATATATATATATATGTATATATGTATATGTACATGTTTATGCGTATATGTATATGTATACGTGTATAGCTATAGTTACATAGATAGGTATGATATGTACATGTATATGTGTACATATATAGGTATATATTTTTGTATTTGTGTATGTATATGTGTATATATATATGTTTGCATATATAATAATTTGATAATGCCATCTATACATAACGGTAATAAAAAATAAGTTTATTGTAATTTTTAAAAATTGTATTTTCAAGAAGTTGTAAAGATATTTTTGCTAGAGATGGACTTGCTGAGGACCCCATTGGCGCCCAAAAAATTTGATAATAGAAACAGCCATTGAATTCGAAATAAGTGTTAGAGACAATGAACTTGACTGTTTCCCTAAACCAGTGCAAATAAAGTCTATGGGGTACATTAGTAAAAAGTGAGACTACGTCTAAGATAATCAGTTTGTAGTTGTCTGGTATATAATTTATCTTGTGTTTTAAGTCAGAAACGAGTCTATAAGAATTTTTTATGTAGTGTGGTGACTGTTTTGTTATTGTAGTTATATTGTTACTTATGTATTTCGAGAGTTTTTATAGAGGGGTATTCATGTCTGAAACTATTGGTCTAAAAGGTAAATTATTTTTGTGGAATTCGGGAAGGCCATAAAGTCTGAGGAAATATGGGTGTAAATTTTTCAGGTCCGATGTTGTCTCCTTGGTTAGTTGTTTGTTTGCTGTAATTTTGTCTAAATATTTATGGCACGTACGGTTTATGTAGTCAGTTGGATCGTTATTGGCAATTTTGCAAGTATTAGTGTCAAGTAATAATTCAGATATTTTATTTATATAGTCCTGCTTGTCTATGATAACGGTGATGTTGCCTTTATCCGCTTGTGAATATAAACTCTCGAAATATATAAGTAACATTATAACTGATGGGTTGATAATGCCCTTTCTCGGGGTTGCAACGACTTCCATTATTATATCTTAGCATTGCATCCCCATTCCGAAAGGGTTACTCCAACTCCTTATCCCGACTTCTATCAACACCCTGTAATTACCTGTGGAAACTAAACCAACTAACTGCGCGAATGAAATAGAATGTACTTTTGGCTTATTTAATATTACTTTAGTATTACGGGTGAGATAACATGGCTGTACCTGCACTGCAAACGTATGTCGCGTACTATAACACGAAAAGGGGTGATATTTGTATGTAGTCACTTTTGATCTACTTTTTGGCGTGTTTTTGACTAACACACCGGTCGGGTGTGATACTACGAAACCGCGCCGTCGGGTGTGATATCATGAGAACGCGACGTCGTGGGGTGTTAACCATATGCTTATTTAAAGAATGTTTAATATTAATAATTACAATCTACGCTTTGTAGTACCACAAAGACTATATTTTATTGAAATAAATAGACATTATAAAATAATAAGGTTATATGTATTAATATATTCCAATTCAAAATCACAATTTTACAAAAATTACAATATTGTTACCATGTTACAATAATTTTGATAAATTATTTTTGAAATTAAGTTGGTGATAAAATTAATTATATGTAATTAATAATTGAACAAATTTAACATGAAATGTAATTAATAACAAAAATCACACAAAAGAATTATCTAACTGTATTTAAAATAGTTTATCTGCCCTTTCTATATAGCGTGCACAAATTTCATCAATGTTAAAGTTTTATTATTTGTTACTGTTCCCAATATTTCAAATTCAATATAATGATAATTAATAGTAGTTTGGCCGAAAACAGGTCCATCGTATGAGAGCACCACAAATCAATGATTTCCTTTTGCTCCTCTGTTTATTATTTTCATTACAGTTTTATCAACACTAATCATTTTTTATTCACTTTTATGAATTTTCCTTTAAAAATTTCTTCAATTTCATTTGAAAAAGCATGGAGATAAGATCTGTGTCATACAAAGTAGCATCCAAAATCTATTATCCGATTATCAATTACCATCTTAATTTTGTAATCCGTTACAATGATAGCTCGAGATATAATATCATGTGTAGTGTAAACCATCACCATCCAAAAAAAATGCATTACTCAAAATTGCATATGCATTACTCTTTTAATAATTAACTTTTTTATTGTCAAATTTGGAGTTGTTTTCTTCAATGAAATGAAATAAGAGCTATTTTCGTATTCTTTCTTTCTATAGAGAATACATTCGTGAGATTTTCAATCATGTCATATTGTATTTATCAAAAGATTTCGATTTAAACTTTTTGAATTTAAAACCTCTAAAACACCTAAAATGAAATAAAATAAAATATAGCACAACACTAGAAAAACTATTGCCATTTCACTATATTCGAGTAAAGGAAATTTATTTATTATACCAATTATTCGTTGAACCTCATTTTTCATCTAGGGCCTTCGATCACTCAGTAAATTCTGAATAAATTTTTTACTTGCGATACATTCCTGCCTTTAATGTATTTAATGAATTTATGTAATTCTTTCATTTTAATTTGATTGTTTCATCTGTTTTCTTCATATCTGAAAATATGATGATAAATTAATTAAGACATATCGTACAAATTGAGAATTACATTTTCAACCTCAAACTAACCTCAAAACTA